ATTGCCCAGTCTTCCTTCTGAGGAGTGGCTGGTGGGTTTGAACCACCAGCCTTCTGGTTAGCAGTCAAATGCCTTAGGCACACTAAGCTACCAGAGCTCCTCCATCAGTGCATGGCCAACCATTTCTCCCCTTTCACTCTGACAGGCGTTTCCTCGATGCTCGAGGGTTACTGGTTGCCAGGCAGCTACTGGGTGCCCAATACATAAGGACAACTTGTATGCATGAGCTCATCTTACTTGCCAAGAACCTGATGACAAGGCTGCCATTTACCCCCATTTTCCAGATGAATGACCTAAGGCTCAAAGAGATAAGCAATGTGACCAGAAACAAGCAGGGCCAAGGCCAGGCAGACAGTAAGGGCAGAGAAGGAGGCACTGGGCGGCCCTCACGCCAACACCAATGACACATGTCGGCAAGGTATAAACAATGCTTGGTGGCCTTGGTGGGTACCGGAGAGGAACAGAAGCAGGTGCAAACTAAAGGAGGGGCTTTCTCCCTCAGAGAAGGGCAAACCGTGCATTTACGTTCCTTCTGCCTAGGCCGCTGCCAGTTCTGCGTGGCTTCCCCGTGTAGCTAGACCCCAAGCCCAAGCTTGTTTATCTGTCATGAGCAGTCCGAGGGGAGAGCTCAGGCTGCTGGAGCGGCTAGAAAGCAGCGTGGAAGCCTCCGAGGAAAGCAAAGTTTTCAGGCTGAAAGAACTGGGTAGGTTCCATCACTGCCCAGTGCAGGAAAATAGACTGAGGTCTGAACCCGGCCAAGTTAACCGCTCACAAGGACAAAAACCAACACTCTTCAGAAGCACGTAACAGAATCCAGAGTTTCTATGACATCTCACCAACAAGATCCAGTAAACCAAGACTCCAAACTCACTGCTGTTCAGTCGATTTCGACTCATAGAGACCCCTCCTTTGGTTTCCGAGGCAGTATCACTATGGAAGTAGACTGCCCAACCTTCCTTCCGAGGAGTGGCTGGTGGGTTTGAACTGCCAGCCTTCTGATTAAGCAGTCAAGCGCCTTAGGCACTACACCACCAGAGAAATCCACAGGCATGAGAAAAAATTGAGGTCCTAATGAACTCACAGAAGGGGAACCTCATCAAAGAAAAAGGAGCAGTTGTAAGAAGCAGCAAGACTTCCAGTAACAGCAAAGCAGGTTGGGCACAAACACAGCTGGCCGAGTGCTTGGCTGCTAACTCAAAGGTCGGTGGTTCAAACCTACCAGTCACTGGGTGGGAGAAAGATGTTGCAGTCTGCTTCTGTGAAGATTTCCGCCTTGGAAACCCTACAGAGCAGTTGTGCTCTGTCCCATAGAGTCTGACCCATAGGGTCGCTATGAGACGGAATCAACTCGATGGCAACGAGTTTGGTTTTCGGTTTTGGTTGTCACACTAACCCACCTGCAGATAACCATTAAAGAACCCTGATAAAACAAAACAAAAACACCATTTGCAGGCACTGGAGGGCAATCAAAACACAGAAACTTAAAAGATGAACTGTGACGGAAGAGATTTGGAAGTCAGGTCCGAAATCTGTGCCTAAAATCTTCTGCTGACTGATAAACTGCATGGGTGGAGGAGATCCCAGAGGACTGTGCAGAAAAGGAGCAGCCGGAAGACAACCGAACAGCGATCCCCGCTGCTGCTTAGCACGAGAGAGGCAGTTTGAGGCTGGAGGCCAGTCACAGCAACTGCCAGCCAGGGTGGAGGTCACTTCAGAGACCTAGAGCAGGACCCAGAGTCTCTGCAATGCATCGCTTATACAATCCAGTGTCCAACCCAAAATCACTACACAGGACAGAGGGACCCATGCCAAAGAAAAAACAGTCCAGAAGCCAAGCTCGAGATGGGTCCAGACGTTGCAACTATCATACGAGGCCTTTAAAGAAGCTAACGTGTGTGTTTGTGGCTAGAAAGAGAAACATACATATCAGGAAGAGCAGATAGGGAACCTTACCAGAGAAATAGAAACCATATAAGATCAAAATGGAAATTCTAGAGCTGAGAAGTATCAAATTGAAATAACAAATTTACTAGGTAGCAGATTGAAGATGACACAAAGGGTCATGGAACTTAAAAACGATCAAATATGAGTATCAGAGAGAAAAAAAAAAATTGATGAGACATGAACAGTGCCACGAAGACTTGTATGACAACAGCAAGTAGCCCAACATTTGTGTACTCAAAGTCTCAGATGGACAGCAGCGAAAGAATGGCACAGGGAAAGAATGTCTGAAGGAACAGTAGCCAAATACTTCCGAACCTGGGTAAAGGATATCCACACACAACTCCGAGAACAGTGTAAGTGCTCTCAGAGCAGTGTAAACGCTCAGTCTGTGAGAAACCAGACCCAGAGAAAACCCTGCAAGCCGCCAGACTTGACACCCAGACGTGCAGCCTGAGTGACAGCTGACTTCTCCTGAGAAACAAAGGAAGCAAAAGATAATGGGTTGGCCTCCCAGCACTGAAAGGAACCCAACCACACCTGCCAAAACTATCATTCAAAAATGAAGGCAAAACAAAGATAATTTCAGATAAACAAAAACAGAGATTCCATCACCAAAAGACCTAGCAGAAAACACTAAAGGCAGTTGCTCAGCCTGAGGGGAAATGATAGCAGACAGTAATTCAGATCTAAGGAAAGGCACGAAAGAGCACCAAAAACGGTAAAAAATACCAGTCTGAAAGGCCATGGTTTTTGTGTTCTCGTAGTATCTTCAAAATTATGTTAACCGTTTGAAGCAGAAATTATAATCCTGTCAGGTGCATAACATAATGGTTATGAAGATCACGGTACACAAGGTAGGAGGGGTGCTGGGCCCGTGCCCTCGCTGGGTACCTGTATTTTATGTGAAGGAGTACAAGACTGACTCTCAGGAAATTCCAGTAAATTAAAAATGGCTTGTGCAATCCCTAAACACTAAAAAATAAAAATTAAAAAAAAAACAAAGCTATAGCTGAAAACTGAAAATCCTCAAAGGAGAAATTAAAAGGCAATACTAAAAAATACTCAAATAGCCCAAAAGCAAGGCTGAAAAAAGCAACAGAGGAGTAATGACGGATGAGACAAATGGGCTGAAAACCACAGCAAGACGGCAGAAACAGAGACAAGCTTATCAATAATCACAGTAAATGTACATGGACTAAGCACACCATTGAAAGGCTGAGACTATCAGACTGGATGCAAAAGCAACACCCAATTATCTGCTGACATCAGCAGAAACACTGAAAATGTGAAGACATGGAGGCTGAGAATAGAAGGACACAAACAAATACACAAAGAGTAAGCAGAAGGCTGGCGAGGTTACAGTGCTATCAAAGGGCCTCTGAGACATTTATGACAACTACAGGAGATAAATGACGACTACAGGGAGCGCTGGGGGCACAGGGCCCGAGGCACCTGACTGCTGACCAGAAGGCTGCCGGTTCAAACCCCCAGCCCCTCCTTGGAAGGAAGCCTGCGCAATCTACTTCCATAGTGATATCACCTCGGAAACCCAAGGAGAGGTTGCTATGAGTTGGATCCAACTCCACGGTAGTGAGAGACAGGAGGCAAAAACCTGTTTCTTATTCATAAAAGGCTAAATACATGATGAAGACATAAAAATTAAATCTGCAGTTTTAAATGCTTATTTAAGAAAAAGAAGGCAGGCTTAAAATTACAAGTCTACCTGAAGAAGCTAGAAATTACAAGCAAATCAATCTCAAATATGTACAAGGATGGACATAATAAAAAATGTACATTAATAACAAAGAAAACACAGAGAAAATCAACAAAGTCAAAAATTGGTTCTCTGAAAATAATAAAATTGACAAACCTAAGCAAGACAGATCAGAAAGAAAACACACACTGCCAATATGGAAATAGAGAGCTAACACTACAGATCCTACAAACATTAACTGGATGATAAGGGAATATCACAAACAAGTTTATCTCCATAAATCTGACAACTTAGATGAAATTAATGAATTCTCTAAAAAACACTTTAGACCAAAATGACACAAAATACCAAATCTGAATAGATCTATATCTGAATTAAACCTGTTATTAAAAACTACCCTACAAAGAAAATTCTAGGACCAGAGGTTTTACTGGTAAATTCTAAGAGATATTTAAGGGGAAATGATAGGAATGTTAAGCTATTTTAGAAAGGAGGGAATATTTTCCAGCTCATTTCTTGAGGCCAGCATAACCCTGACTCCAAACCCTGACAGACAGAAAACCGCCTATGACAGTGCTCTTGTATAGAGACGTGGCAAGCCAGCCAACCGTCAGCCAGTAATGGAGACAGAGTACTCGCCTCCATGTTAGAATGCCACCCAGCATCAGCGGGATGCTCAGACTGCGGGTGAATGGCTGAGGAAGACAAGCACGCTCAACCCATCTCAGAAAGACCCCCGTTATCTCCCGGGGGAGAAACAGCAATGGCACGTCGGGGAGCTGAGCCATCAAGGACAACATCCCCGAGACTGGGACAAACTGCAGTCCCGTGATCCCTGACAAGATGTGCAGAGAACAAAAGAGCACTTCTGGGATGCTCCTGCCAGAGAGAAAGGGCCTGCGTCTAGTCACGAGGAAACATCAGACAAGCCCAAACCGGGAGACCCGTCTACAAATGGACCAGACTGGACTCTTTAAAAACGGTAATGTACGGTTCCGAGAAAGACTCCAAATGGATCCCAGGTGACAGAGGCTAAAGAGACGTGATGACTGAATGCAACGCTTGACCCCAATCTGAGTCCTGGCCCAGGTGAGCCAACAGTTGTCAAGACAATTACTGGACAATTCAAAGCATTTGAATATGGACCGAAACTGGGACAGCAGGACGTCTCTGAGTCAATTTCCTGATTCTGGTCACTGTGCTGTGGTTGGATAAAGGAGAATTTCAGGTTTTAGAAAATAAACATGGAAGCATTTAGGAATAAAGGGTCTCATGCCACCAACTCACTCCCAGTGGTTCATGGAAAAAACACATGGCCATGTGTATGTGTATGTACGTGTGCACGCACGTGTGTATCGACAGACAGATAAAAAGAAAGGGATGAAGAAATGGAGGGAATTCCAAGCCAGAGCACTGGGGTTGAGGGTTTCCAAGGGTCCATTTTCCTATCCTTACAACTTATCTAGGAGTTTGAAATCAAAACACTGAAAATCACCTAACACATTTTATAAAGAATTCTTCTATGCCCTCCCCCCAAAAAAAGGAAGAAAGGAAGGAGGACGTGGGTGTGGGAGGCAGGTGGGGGACACAGGCAGCGTTTGCTCCCGTGAGGTCGGTACTATTCCCAGATGTGCCATTGCCTTGCACAGCAGAAAGGACCTGGGTTGGTCAGCAATCCAGCCACTGTTCTCCCTGGAACCGCACACAAGCAGAAAAGAGAGCAGAGAAAGCCCACGGCAGGGAAGGATCCCTGTGGCACAGGCACGGGCAGGCTGCGCTTTCAGCACCAAAGGGACCCCCATTTCTGGTCCGATGCTTGGCAGGTGTATGGAATGACAGCCACAATAAACAGGGACGAGGGGAGACTTCTGTAGCCTGAGTAACAGGCAACTAAGGCGTTCCCAGTGTCTCCACCCATCCCTCCACCTGCTACACCTACATGACCTTATTCTCGCACCGTGTAAAACAAACCCAGAATCATTCAAAGGATGCACACGGCCCTGAGAGTCACCTGCGTGGAATGATGATCCTCACAGAGTCACTCAGAGACAACTACTACGTACGGTACCCAATCACACGTTCTTAAATAAATGCACAACTAAAAGTGAGCTTAAAAACAGGAGTGACAACAAAAAATGAGGAAGCCTTAATGTGAAAATGTGTTGGGAGAGAGAAACAGGCTTTCGACAATGAGTTATATCCTCAGCATGCTAATGGCCCTCCCACAAGCGAGAGGCACTACAATTGGTCTCCGGTGGCTTGTTTATCCCGTCTGGGCATAATTACAAGATGCAGTTTTCCCAAGCTCCCCCATGCATTCATTTAACAACTAACATTTACTTAGGCCTGACTCGGGGCCTGGCACAGTGCAGGGGCCTGGTGCTGCCAACCCAACAAGGGCTCATGCACACGCAGGTCACCATCTTGAGAGAAAGACACCAGACTCCACAACTCAAGTGCTAAGAAGAGGCCGCTAACTCCACAGAGGAAGCGAACGCATCCGACCACTCACACAGGAAGCCAGGAACCATGCCGCCGTGCCCCAAATGTACGCAGGGCTGTGGAACTCGGCGTAAATGCTCAGGGCTGCGTGGGCGACTCTCCCAATCACGCAGACACCAGAGATGCTGGCATCAGAACCAACGGACAGTATCTCCCTGAGAGAGACAAGTCACATGGACAGGCACTCCCTGTGTCCATGTCAGCAGGTCTCGGTCTCCTAGACCAACGGCAGCTCTGCGTGTGTTTCTGACACAGATAACATGCATACCACATGGCTGCAGAGGCCGCGGGGTCCAGCCCAACTGGCTTCTTTTGTCACCAACCACTTCAAGCCTACAGCTCCCTGGATCATCTAACACATGCACATGGGTGCCCGTAGCATATAGGTATCACACACAGACCAGCCACAGCAGAGCCCTGTCCTCCTGGGGGGTGCTAACGAGCACACATGCGGCCTTCTGATCCCTGAGTTAGGAGCCCGCTCTCCACCGACAGTCCCACTGCCGCCCGTGTTGCTGCTGCTGCTCTTGCTGCTGTTGTTGTTAGGTGCCGGTGAGTTGGTGCCAACTCAGAGCGGCCCCGTGTACAGCAGAACAAAACACTGCCCGGTCCTGGCCATCCTCACAATCACTGCCTTGTCTGAGCCCATGGCTGCAACCACCGTGTCAGTCGACCTCGTTGAGGTCTTCCTCTTTTTCACCGACTCTCCACTTTACTAAGCATGATGTTCTTCTCCAAGGACAGCTCCCTCCCATCTCACTCTCACCAAACTCACTGCCATCGAGTTGGAGCCGACTCATAGTGACCCCCACTGGGTTTCTGAGGCGGTAAATCTTTACAGAAGTAGATTGCCACGTCTGCCTTCTGTGGAGTGGCTGGTAGGTTTGAACTGCCAACCTTCTGGTTAGCAGTCAAATGCTTTAGGCACTATGCCACCAGAGCTCCTTGGTCCCTCCTACAGTCCCATCAATTCCATGCTGAAAAGGACACAGCTCTCCCTGTGCCAAACTGCTCCTGAGCACTCACGGAGCATCCGTCCAGCTCCCTTTGGCTGTTAGGCCCCCAGAGGGGAAGGAAGGCAGGATAGCTTTCGAGTCAGACAGAGCCTTCATGGGCCAGACAGACTTCATGGGCCCCATAGTACTGCTGCCATCAGAGCCCCGTGGGGAGAGAAGCAGGGCACTCCCAAGGGCACCCCAGAGACTGCAGACGTGGCCAGGCGAGGGTCTCGAGACTGCTCTTGCTCTGTGCAGTCACATACATTCGAGTTGTGATCCAGCACCCCACTGGGAATGAAAAATGCCATTTGTGTGAACTACTCTATTGCGCAGTGATTAGTGGAGATAATTTTCTGAACCCTTGTTATATTTTCCAAATATTCTTACTGGAAAAAAAAAAAAAGGAAAATAGTGCTGACAAGAACAGAGTGTTTGGAAACAAAAATCAAATAAAGAAATCAAGGGAAAATGCCATTAGCATTATTTTTCATGGCACTACAAGTCTTTACGGGTAAGGTGTTCAGTTGCTGGTCATAACCAACTTCCAAACGAGAAAGAAGATCTAGTTGGCAAGTGTTGCTGATCAACTGGCAAACCCTCTAAATGTTATTATCCAGGTTCATTTTGCACAATAAATTTAATTTCTTGTAAGGAAACTGGAAATTTATAAAAGAACCCTGGAGAATTTGAATTTTAATAATCAATTATTCTTCAGCCTGATTCATCTTACGAGCATATGGAATATGCAAAAAAAAATTAAATTAGTTTAAAAAGCCAGACCGTTAACGCACAGCTGAGGAAAACTTTTACCTAAATGAAGAGTAACTGCCAAATGTTCAGGTGCCAGGATACAACGTTTTACCTAAATGAAGAGTAACTGCCAAATGTTCAGGTGCCAGGATACAACGTTTTTAGCTCCATGGTGAATAATGTTTGTGTACTTTGAAAAACATGTTTTTTCTCCAACACTGGTCCTTTCTAACGAAGAAAACAACTCCCTTCCATCTCTTTTCTTGTCCTTGCAATGAAGGCTTAGGATTTTTCAATTCTTCAGGTGGTTTCTCTAACCGTCGGAACCATCCTGAGGCTCTCTCCTGCTCTCATGCAAACAGAAGGCTAGGCTGGGCATCATTTACACTCAGGCCAGTGGAGGAGACACAGCTGAGGAAAGCCCCAGAGGACCTAGCCTTGAGCCACCAGGACAGACGCCAGAGCACTAACTGGGGAAACATGAACCATGGGCCAGGAGAGCCGGCGCTGGTCCAGTGAGGGTACCGAAGCAATGACAGAGTCTGACTGTACGATTCGTGTCCCTCTGGGTGTAGACTCTTACAAACTCAAGGACACCACAATGATTCAGTGTCGAAGAAACCTAGTCCGTGCCCTGTCCTGAACTGCTGTGTCTGGAGCTGGTATGAGTGCCAGTACCTTAACACGGCCCCTCCCAGAGCGCCGGGGACATCTCTGCCACATCTGCATCTTTAAAACCCTTCTTCACGTTAGCTTATATACTTAAGTCTTATCCAAATCTATTAAGCAGATACACATACATGTCTCGTCGTTTTTTCTTATAACTGTCCGACTACCACCTGGAAACATGTCATGCGGCATGCCGGGTCCCTCGCCCTGGGAACAAGGCCCCCGGGCAGTGCAGGCCGCAGCACACAGCTCAGGCCCCTGCCCGCAGAGGCCTGCTCACATCACTCCACTTCCCCAAGCTCTGCCTTTAAATACCCGGGGACGTGAGGATAACCACTTCCCAAGCGTGCCTAGAGTAAAGCACTGAGTTCTCTGTGCCCAGGCCAGTCACCGCCTTGTTTAGGGTGACAGTGCTGACCAGCATCTAAGACACGAGAGCCATTTGCAGCGAGCCTCACAAAAGGGGCTGGGAGCCGAGCCGGCTGCCGACGGACTCACGTTCACAGCTTCTGCCTTGTACTCATCATCGCTGTCAGGGGCCGACAGATTGAGCAGGATCGGACACACTTTGTTCTCAATGTCATGCTGGAAAATGAGATCCTGCTCCAGAAGAACCAGCAGCACCTCCTGACTGGACTTCCTAACCTAGGAGAGAAAACAAGCCAAGGCTGAGACACAAGCCAAGCAGATGTCCTCTCAGGGTCGAGACCGGAGTCCCGGGCAGACGCTGCCTAGCCAGCACCTCCTGACTGGACTTTCTAACCTACAAGAGAAAACATGGGCAAGGGTGAGACACAAGCCAGGCAGATGTCCTCTCAGGCTCGAGACTGGAGTCCCAGGTAGACACTGCCTAGCCAGCACCTCCCCCTCCCTGGGCGGCCTGGGACCCACATTGTTTTTCTTGTCCATCCCTCCTTCCTCCCTCCTGAGGCCTTTGACTCGGCCATTCCTCAGTCCAGGATACCCTCGATCCCTTTGCCTACCTAACTCCTACCCATTCGTCCCATCCTTCCCAGGGCCCCCCACTCTTGGAGGTCAGGTCCATGCTCCATAGTTGAATCACTTGTTCCCTTCATGGCTCCTATCCCAGATTTCTACCTGTGAATGTGTGTGTATATGTGCATGTGTGTGTGTGGGAAACGTATACACGTCATGTGTGTATGTACATGTGTGTGCACATGCACGTTCTTCTTCTACATGATCAATCATCACTGCCTCCCTCACCACAAAGCAAACGCTGGATGCAGAAGTAGGTATGACCATCTTGCCCCAGCACTAGTAGCAAAGTTCAACGAGACAGAAAATAACAAATGCTGGC